GCTACATTAACCACTCTAAGAGAGTCATCTTGACCTTTGAAGCTTTGAAATTAGCTTTGACTTCTGTCTACTTACGAAAGCCCTAGATGGTGTCTTCTTCCACTGGAAGGCTGTTTCACCCACATTGGAAAGCTGAGTGCTGTTTACTGGAGCCGGCCACTTTCCTTTGATCTTAGCTAGATCTTCCCAAAATGCATCAGTTCTAAATCACCTCTCACTGCCTCACCCTGCACTCTTGTGTTATCAAGATGGCTTCTTTCCCTAAAACTCGTGAACCAGTTTGTGTTACTTTATACTTTTCCTCTGCAGCTTCCTCACCTTTCAGACTTTTTAGAAGTGAAATGAGTTGGGGTCTTGCTCTGCCTTAGGCTTTGACTTACAGGAATATTCTGGTGACTCCCTTCTCGTCTGCTGAGACCGTTCACCTCAGCAATCCGGCTGCTTCGCCCACTAGTGTATGAACTGGAATCACACTTTTCTTTCCCTTCAAGTCCATTTCCTTTGCTTTCACTGATTCTCCCTTCACTGGTGTAGGTTTGGGACTGTCTCAGCTCCTGATCTTTCCTCCCTGAGCTTACTCATGTCATTTAAAGTAAATGCACATCCCTCCTTGCACCCGAACACTTAGAGGACACTTCAGCGTTAATTGACCTAATTTCCATATTATTGTGTCCTAGGGAAAAGGGAATCTCAATAAAAGGGAGAGAGGTGGGGAATAGGCAGCTGACGGAGCAGTCAGAGCACATCTACAACTTTATTAAGTTCATCTTATGTAGATGTAACACATAGCACTCCCAAATCACTGATCACAGATCACCAGAACTGAGTAATCATGAAAAAGTTTGAAATATTACAAGACCTACCAAGTATGGGGAGCCGAGGAGTGAATGAATGTGCAAGAGAGGATGAAGTCCTGAGTGAGCGTGTATTGTTTGATGTAGGCACAGCCTTGTCAAGGACCCCAGTGCCTCAGATCCGGGGGAGTAGCAAAGCTTTCCCCAGGTTAGGCTCAGAAGGATGGAAAACCCTTTCTCTGGTCTGCGTGCAAATGTTGACAGTGTGCAAGTATGATCTTTACCAGTAACTGACCAGAGTGTGCAAGTATTAGCAACTGCAGCTTCCTCATCCTGGATGACTGCAGGCTGAGACTGCCGCCCTCCCAACTCTCCTGTTGAGACGAACTCTTTCCTCCCTGTGCTAGACAGAAGACATGAGCTGAGGTCCCGGGGGTTGCACAGCTGCTGTACCTTCCGCAGCCCAAGCACAGCCCACCCGGCCCCAGCTTGTGTTCTGTGTGTCTGCTCGGTCTTCACGCCCTCACCACCCAGCCAGGTCTCCAGGACCAAGCAACAAAGGGTATAACACAGACACGCGTGAACCCGCTACTGGGGAAAATGGCACCTGCTGATTTGCTCATAGCAGAGTTGCCACGAGCCTTCAATGTATAAAAAATTGCAATACAGTGCCTGTCAAATGCTATATAATAAGGCACAATCAAATGAGGTATGGCTGTATTTGAAAGCACTACTATATATCATATTCCATTAATACTGTTGGTTTTTTTTTTTTTTTACCATTTATAATGTATTACCCATTTGTGGAAGCAATCTGAACAATAGAATGGCAGACTCAGAGTTTTTGCTTGTTGTCAAATTATCTGAGAGCTCTGGTGTAGTTGCATTTTCCCTTTAATGGGAACTTATGAAATGCCAAACTCAATTCCGTATTCCCTGTATGTCAATCACACATATGATAACAATGTCAACCTCTTCTTTATATATATTCCACAAGATGGAATAACAAATTTGGCACACTTCCTACTTGTATATGGTCTATAAGCTGAGAATGTCATTTCTTTATGTCTTTAAGATGATGTGAAAATTATGAAATGTTAGTGTTCATTCATAAAATTTTATTAAAGCATTGCTGTCAACATCCTTTTTTATATTATCTATAGCTTCCATTCTGTAAGAAGAAAGTTAAGCACAGAGCCGAGTAACCTGCAAAACCAAGCATTTCACCATCTACCCCTTTACAAAAAAAAAGTCTGCTGGCGCCTGGTCTGCCAAATTACACTAAATATCTAGAGAGAGGGAGTCCCTCACAGCACCCAGTTTGATGATTTCCACATTCAAGAGAGTTGCTGAGTGTCTCTTGCATTTAACAGCACTGTAAAACTTTTAGTATTCAAATGTATGCCGCAAAACTCCTGCTTCTATATGCTAATGAAATTGAAAGCACTAATTTCCTTATATTTTTACAAAGCTTGACATTTACCTGGTTTGATATTTAGCATATGAATTCTACAAAAGATTTTTTTAACAAGAACTCTGTGCTGCGATAAGAGTTTATCATACCCAAAAAGAGAAGTAATTTTGTAGTCTTTAAAAAAAAATATGAAATAGATGTTCATGTTGAAATCTTGAAAATTACACTAATGTACCATTCAAACTTTAAATGTCAGTACATAAAACTGTTAGTTTTCTAGGGCAAAAATAAATTAAAGATTAAAAAGTTCCAATCCCTGGCACTTCATCTCCTGAGGATAAATTCAGAACTAGTGTAACGGTAGTTTTAAAAACTTCTCAATTTTATGTCTCATTTATTAAGGCAAACAGAAGTCTATAATGTATCTTACAAAGTACATTATTGTGTGTTTAATTGAATATAGGCAAATGTGTAAACTAATTATGACTGGAGTAGATGCAGGGGACGGAGATGGGGAGCATGCTCTGTACTAACTCCCAACAATCTTCATGGCAGTATGAATTAGATACTACTGCACAGACGTGAAATTTAAATGAGGTCTTATACGAAGATTCTAGTACAGAGTTTTAAAGCATATTAGAGTCTCACAAAATATTTTTTTCTCCATCCTCTTTCCAAAAAATTCCTTCACTTTTGACCTTTGAGATTAAAACTTTGCACCCACAAAATCAGGTGCTACACTCCTGAAGTATTCCTTCATCCTCTTCCTTTATGTTTTACAACAGACATCACCATTCTTCCTGGGGAAGGTATATCCCAAAGACTAGGACCTACGCAGTAGTGAATGAATTATGCGACACAACTCCCTAAGTGAACATGTAAGAAAAGTTCCCAGGCCCAAGGCACATCTTGAACGGTGGAATTAGACATAACTGAGGCAGAAAGGGGGCAACACCCTTCTAAGGGAGCAGGAACCGGTGCATTCTGGAAATGCTGGGAGGTGGGGCATAAGCAAAGAGGCTCCACCAGAAAGAATTGGATGAGAAAGGTCTGGGCTCTCCTTCATGTAGGGACTTGTCCGGGAAGGCCTAAGTCCAAAGAACACACTGAAGAAAATGTGGGCAGAGACACAAATGACAGATTGGAGCCTGTCTCATGACACTGAAGCCTAGAGCCCTCAGAGCTTGGCTTCCAGAACCACCACAGACTCCAACAGACTTTCCACAGAGGAGGGAGGAAGTTGCTAGAACAAACACTGTCCTGAAACTTGCCCCAAAGCTGAACCTCATCAAACCCCAATGTTTTTTTGAGGTTAGAAAAAAATCCTGGCTTAGCATTTTTAGGACAATATCTATTTGCCTTTTGTCTCCCACTTGAAGCCAGAAGTGGGAGTTCTGGAAACCCATTAAAAACTTGGGGTTTTATTGATTTCTTTACTATATCCTTTGCCTGTCCAAAACCAGAGGATGCTGGAATGGCTCGAGCTCATTCTCCTGAGATATCCAGATCAAAGTCCTTCTGAAGTGCCTTGGCTAAGCATCTGGATTTTTCCATTCTTACCCAAACCAAGGCTTCAATCCCTTGCAATTTGCTCATATGCATCCACCTTCTCAAGTGTTCTGAGCTGCATTCTGCACTCACATTGGCCTTATTAGGACAGCTAGAAACTGCAGGCTGGCAGGAGTAATACATTCAAGCTTCTACCTCCATGGTATCATTCAACAGAGAAAAAGAACTTTCTGGCAACACGGTCTACTCGGGGTATCTTGTGTAGAGTGAGTAAAAGAGAGGGGCCCTCAAACACCTTCCTGCAAAGCCATTGCACTTCTTGCCATATATATCCAAACATAAAATTCAGTTTGTCACATGTCATCTGAAGGCAACTCATGAAAATCTAATGCTAATGTGTTATGAAATGGATTCTGTGCCTTTTCTTTGTAGCTCATGAGATATCTATGGGGAGAGAACAAACTAACCCTATCAAATAAGTTATGTTTCTGTTGGGTGATCCAAAACTGACTTCTATTTCACCATAGATCAACCTTTTCCTAAATCACATCCATCCTCGCATTATCTTCCAGGGAACAGTTAAGAACATAATACTTTATAGGCCCCATTACTAACCTTGCCTTCATTTTTAAAAACTAGTTTATGGACAATAGGTTTTGTTCTCAGTGTTCTTCATGTTGATTTTTTTTCAATGGGATACGCAGAACACTAGAGTTTGCCTTATCAAAGAACCAAGTCATTGCAAATTCTTCCACTTTTCTAATGGGCTCAGGAAAGTGTGTGAGAAGACATAACAGCCATGTCTATCTTTATCTTATCATTGCTTTGAGCCTGTCCTCTTACGGTTCTTGGGCATTCATTGAAACACTCTGTACATCTCTAGCTAATCCATGCTGTAAATTTGGAGTCACATTCATTATGATAATATTTGTTTCAATGCCGAAAGAAAAAACCACCATTCTGATCAGACAGATCAGCAGTTCAGGTCAGCATCCCCACTTCAGTTTCCATTCTCCCGAAAACACAGAAGTGAGTCTCCAGCTTCAGAAGCCTCTGCCTGCTTCCTCCTTTCATGCAGTTCGCCTTTGTTCGGTTATTTTGCACCACCCCCAGAGTGTTTTCAAATATACTTCAGCCCCCCAAGCAACCCCATTTCGGTTGATTGACTTCAGGGAACTCTAATGCTGGCCGGGCATTTTGCTGCAACCCCATTTAGACTCAGCATGAACAGCAGATTTAAAAGGCAGATTACGTTTTTAGCTTTCTAAAAAGTGCTTTATTAGAGAGGCTAAAAGCCACAGAGGTGGTAAGCTGAGTTCTTTTGAAATACAAGCAACCTCATGACATCTAGGGAGCAGCCCCTCGGCCGGCCGTGGAGCTCCTCCTTTGGGTCTCAATGACAGCAGGGACCAGCTGCCTCCAAGGATTTTTCTTAAGGGTCCTTGTGGCTCCAACAAGAGACTCCCTGAAAGCACGAAAGGGGGTTCATTTAAGGGTAGGAGACCTTTGAAAAGCAACTCACCCCTGGGCTTCTGGCAGGCCATTTTGTGTGAAAGCGTTGGTTATATACTGGTCTCCACTGAATTGCAGAAATGGCCAAGGGGCGGTGGGTAAAGAACCATGATGAGATTGTTAAAAGCCAGTTGGGATAGATAGAGTACCTACAGGCCTGCTTCTTAAGGCAGGCCACTGCAAATCTCAGAACACAGCTAAAAAAATGCAGGATGGATGGATGGATGGATGGATGGATGGACAGACAGACGAATGGATGGATGCATTGATGGATACATGGGTGGATGAATGGATGGACAGACGGAGGGAACGATGGATGGATGGATGGATGGATGGATGGATGGATGGATGGATGGATGGATGG